GCGGTTAGGAGTCGCCTCCATAAAATAAGCTCCTCCCGCTCCTCCGAGAGAGACTGGCAAGCTACTCGTGAGTACCCAGCCCCCACGTTTAGAGCCTGGCAAGCTATACGTTGGGTATCAAAATGCCAAAAACAGCAACAAATATGGGCCTCATTGCCCTGAACCCGAAAGAGCCCCTGGAACGGCAGCGCCAGGTAGGACGAGTACGGAGAGGCTGCTAAAATCTCAGGGCCGAACTAGGCTGCCAAGATCGAAACGGACTAAAATGACGATCTGTACCTACAACGCAAGAACCCTTGCTCACAAATCCGCTGTAGAAGATCTATTGATTCAAGCAAGAAGAATAAGGTACGACGTCATTGGCTTGGCTGAGACGAGAAGGCGCCATCCTTTTCACGCTGTCTATGACACCGGAGAAGAACTGTTCCTTGGAACATGCGATCGCAGAGGTGTCGGCGGCGTTGGCGTCCTCGTCAAATCGAATTTGACCGTGAGCATTGACTCGTTCGAACAACTAACAACCCGTATCGGACGATTACGGTTGAAACGATGTGGTTCTATGCCGGCTTTGACCATCTTCGTTGCTTACGCACCAACATCAAGCTATGACGAAGACGAAGTCGAAGCGTTCTATATGGACCTCGAAAAATTCTTCAGAGAAGATCATACATTCTTCAAGGTCATTGTCGGAGATTTTAACGCAAAAATTGGACCTAGAAGAACGTCTGAAGAACGTCACATAGAGACCCACGGACTAGAATGGAATGAACAGGGTGAGAGGCTATCTGAGTTTATCATGACGACCCAAACCATCCATGGTAACTCGCAATTCCAAAAGCCTCTTCTCAGCGATGGACGTGGGAGTCTCCCAATGGAGAGTACCATAACGAAATAGATCACATCATAGTAAATCGAAGGTTTTGCCTGACCGATGTCGCTGTTGTTCCTAAGTTCTACACGGGATCAGACCATCGCCTCCTTCGCGCAACGTTCCGATTTTCGAGGAGAGGAGAGAAAGCCGCTAAATTCAAACAACGAAGTCCCAGAACTACCATAAACTGGGATGTATTCAAATCATTAGTCGGCTCTTGGGAAGATACCGTTGTCGACAACATCGACGAAGAATACGATCGACTCGTTGAATATCTTCACGTTAGCGCTATAAAAGCCGAGAGTCCTAAGGTCACGAAGAGACGCTTGTCTCCGCAGACACTCGAGCTGATACGTCAACGTGGAATCGCACGAGCCACAGGCAACCGAAACCTTACGTCCGAACTTGCGAAACGATGCAGAGAAGCGATAAAAGAAGACCTGAAAGAGAGAAGAGCAGCAGTTATGGCAGAAGCTGCAGAAGCTGGGAAGAGCATTCGCAAAGCCCAGCGAGGCTTCGCCAACTATAAGACCAAGATGGTTGCACTCCGATACCCTGACGGGACACTTACAGCTTCCAGAAGGGCTATGGAGAAAATCATCCACCAATACTACTCGGATCTCTTCGCTAGCCATGTCCTCTTACCGTCATATAAATTGAAAGAGGACGAATATGTCGTTCCACCGGTCCTCCCTTCCGAAATCCGACATGCTATATCGTCGGTGAAGAACAGAACAACACCTGGTCGAGACAGGATTAGACCAGAACATCTGGAGAATCTGCCGCCAGTTCTCATCAACACCCTGGCTCGGCTCTTCACTCGCTACCTGTCAGAATGCAAGGTCCCTATTCATTGGAAAACCAGCAGGATCGTATTGTTGTTCAAAAAGGGAGACCTTCATGACATAGGCAATTATCGCCCAATCTGCTTGCTGCCCGTTATCTATAAACTTTTTACTCGAGTCATCTTAAACAGGATTGCCAGAACACTGGACGAAGGACAGCCATGCGAACAAGCAGGGTTCCGAAAAGGATTTAGTACCATAGACCACATCCACACGATTACAAGACTCATTGAAGTTTCACGAGAGTACAAACAACCACTCTGTCTCACTTTCATCGATCTGAGGAAAGCCTTGATCCAGTGGAAACAGAAGCAATTGTAGAGGATCTGGATAACCAGGGCGTCCCTACTCGGTACATAATGATCCTTCGTGAGCTTTATAAAGATTTCACGACCAAAATATCTCCATTCTACAACAATATCATCATTGACATAAGAAGAGGGGTTCGACAAGGCGATACAACGCCAAACTTCACTGCAACCCTACAAAACGTCATGCGAACATTAGAATGGGACGAAATGGGAGTGAAAATTGACGGTCGACCATTAGACCATCTTCGCTTTGCTGACGATATCGTTCTCATAACACCAAACATCAGCCAAGCGGAACGAATGTGGTGACCGCTTTCGATAACGCCTGTGGAAAGATGGTCTTCAACTGAATCTAACGAAAACAATGTTCATGAGGAACGGATGGGTTTCCAATGACCCATTCACGCTCAATGGAACGACAATCTCCGAATGCTCCAGTTACGTCTATCTAGGTCGTGAAATCAACACGATGAACAGCCTAGCTCCTGAGCTGAGCAGAAGGAAACGAGCGGCTTGGGGAACGTTTAAGAGCATCGAAGATGTAGTGAAGAGGACAAAGAACATCCGACTCCATGCCCACCTTTTCGACTCGACAATTATCCCTACCCTAACGTATGCAGCAGAAACCTGGTCGCTACGTAAGCAGGATGAAAGATCACTTGGAGTTATCGAACGCGCAGTCGAAAGGTCGATGCAAGGAGTATCCCGTGTCTCGCAAATGAGAGAAAAGATGCGAAGTTCCGACCTACGTCAACGATCGAAAATCAGAGACGCCGTTCTACACGCCAGGATATCGAAAATAAGGTGGGCCGGACACGTGATGCGCTTCAACGACAACCGATGGACGAGAGCCGTTACCGACTGGATTCCTCGGGAGTCAAGCGCTCTAAAGGAAGACCACTGACCCGTTGGTCCGATTTCTTCACGAAAGCGATAGAAGAAAGATATGATGCTCAGCGAATCCCTAGAGCGAGGAGGACCCACTGGGCTACTCTTGCACGCGATAGGGGAAAATGGAAGAGTTGCTGGTACCCGCTCGAGTCACTCGACGATAACGGGACGACAGGTGATACAAACGACAGGTGATATATATATATATATATATATATATATATATTATATATATTGATTAGTAATGCCAAAGTTAAAAAAGTCCGTTTCCAGTCATTCAATGTGCTATTTGAACCACACATCGACTAATGTATCAGTCTATTTGCCGTTTGATAATGAAATTTATTTCAAAGTACATGTTGTTACGTCATAAATCATTTCGGTACGGATTTTTGGCTCTAGGCTTTACTAATAATGACGTATCACTCAATGTGCATTCTATATTTTATCAGACTTATTAGATAACATTTGTATTCATAGAAAGAATGTTGTCAGGTGTAGAAGTGATTGTGGTTTTAGGCCGTAAGTTCAAAATGGGTCGTAAAGCAGCAAAGAAAGGTCACAATATCAACAGCTAATTTGGCCAAAGAACTGCTAACGAATATAGTGCAGTGATGCTTCATGAAGTTTTGTGAAAAAAAAAATCGCAAGCCTTGACGATGACAACGTAGTGGCCTTGCTTAGGGAGATGACAACGACCAGTTGAAAGCAATTTTCTGAGTTGATCTTCTGAGCAGCGCGCCAAATGTTGCAAAAAAAGGAACTCAAAGTCAATCATTCTACGGTAGTTTGCCATTTAAAGTTGACCGAGAAGTTGGAAAAGTTCGTTATGTGGATATCTTTGGACTCAGCAAAAATCAAAAAATAGTCTTTTTAAAGTGTTCTTTTCTTGTTCTACGTAACTGAAACTAGCCATTTTCAGATAGGACTGTGACGTGCGAAAAAGTTCATTAATATAGAATCGGAGACGATAAGCTTTATAACAAACAACTCATGCAACATTCCTTGCTATTTTCTTCATTATCTTACTCAAGTGAGCGATATGATAAGGTGGGCGATCGTTCAGGTACCCTTAAACGACGAGCAGCGATGGGGTCCTGCGCTTAGATCGTGCATACGATATACGGACTTACGCGGGCAGTTGGCCGACGACGGCGGAAGACGAGCTCCTGAAGCTGGCTTGCCCGGTCGCCTATCTACCTCTCTTCTTCCGGAACGTGGCCCGCTCTCTTAATTGCATGCTAGTCGCTCTCGTTGACTTCATGACTTAAAATACCCTCGTTGCATACGCATCGATGACTGATTACCACCTCACATAAGAATTGTATGGTTAGTGCCACTTTTGACCTGATTATCGATTATACATAATTTGCTAACAATTGTACTGCAAGCCCGAGCCACGGAGAAAAACCCAATAGTGAGAGTCATGGGTGACTCACCCCCATGGAATAAGTAGCAGATTCACAGGACTATCTGGATTCATGTTATGTACAGCTATGATTCGTATAACGACAGTACTCACACGCCATCCACCCAACATACCACTCCGTGGTCTCGTCCTTCCGGGCGGCCATGGTATCTCTCCGAGCCTCCGTCTCCTGGTTGCGGCTTTCAAGCACTCTAGGTACTTCTGGTGAATTATCCGTTGGTTCCTGTTCTGTGATCTCGTGTAATTTTGACGTCTTGACTTACCACACATATATCGATCGAGCGAATCGCGCCGAGCCATCGGCCGGTTGTGGTGTTTCGTAGTGTACAGTTAGCGCCTGCCTCTCATCTACCTGTGTCTCTCACCCACCCGTGACTCTCATCCACTTGTGTCTTTTACGAGTCCACTTATTACTTCTAGAATCTGACCGACTATCGATCGAGTGATTTATTTTCGCAATATGTCCCTGGAGTATTATTGTATAATTAGAACCGGTATTGTTAAACTATTTTGTAAGTATTGTTTTTTGTAGATTGTTTCTAACATGGTTGATTCTTGCTGTATTTTCTGATAAATCAATCCACGTGACAGGCCTTCAAACACATATCAACCGATCCACTAAATCCACTGCTGTAATCACTGCAATTACTTGGTGCATTGGCCGGGAATCGAACTCGGGTCGCCCGCTTGGCAGGCGAGCATTGTGTCACTGAATCACCGATGACATTCACGGCCATATGCAAATTTGGAGCGTGTCGAAACTGCGGCAGACTGGGTCACCATGCCTAAATCTGCAAGGACAGGAGCGTGCCACCGGACAATAAACCAAGGAAAGGGGAGAACGTTGAAACCGACGGGATGCGAAGACTTGAAAAACGACAGGAGACAACGACGAAACACAGCACTTCAAAAACTTCCAAAGCTAACGCACTGATCGCGGACACTACAACCAACGAAGAAATTGTTATACAGCCTCAAAAAGGAGATGTAACGGAGGCACTGATTCTGGCTGGAGAAGTTCGAGTCCTCAACAGAAACTCCAAGAAGCAAGAGAAAGTATACGTGGTATTGGACACAGGAGCGGATAGATCGTTCACCATTAAAGCATCGACCGAATGACCTAAACTGTCACAAACCGACTCTATGGACTTGACCATACACGCGCTCGGAGATTTCAAAAAAGTCAAGAAGAATTGCGGAGTAATAGTCGTCCAGTTACGAGACGCGCAAGGTGAATCTGACGTCATCAAAGTAACCGTAGTTGAAAACATCACGAAGCCACTGCGACGCGTACCGCTGAGCAAAAGTATAGAACCTTCCTACGTGACAGCAACATCAAGCTTTCCATCGATCCGCACTTTCAAAGCATCCAACCAAAAATCCTCCTTGGATGTGCAGACCTCTTCTCCCTGCTGGACAACGGCTTAGCTCGAAGAAGGCGCTACTTTCAGGACTACTTCTGATTTCATCAAAACTAGGATATCTGGCAACTGGGCCACACGAAAGGGACTAGCTTGCGTCAAGCAACAATCACGTTTTCGTTCAAGGGAACTACCAGTCCCAATGACAATCCTGAAGAATAATTTCGGAACGAGTTCTGTACGTTCAAATCAAAAGGGATTCATGAATTTACATGATGAACCACAAAAGAGTGAGGAATACAAAACATGGCCACATGGCAACAGTTTGAAGAAGCAAAAGAAAAACGAGACGATGTCTACTACGTAAACTGTCGTGGAAAGATGACGCGTAAACAAGGTAATGGCCTTAAAAAGACTGCACGCTACACTTAAAGCCTTGAAAACCAGGCCTAATAGTTTGCCAAAATATCATGAGACCATCAAAGAACAGCGGTAGCAAAGCGCTATAGAAGAAGTAGATGAATCAGCACCAAGCAAAGAAGTGGTAGTACACTACCTTCCTCATCAGGAAGTACTGACTTCCAGCAAAGAGACAACAAAACTAAGAATCGTATACGATGCCTCAGCACTTGCACAAATGTCACCATCGTTGAGCGACGTCCTCGATCATGGACCAGTCTTGTTATCTCAGATATTCGATATTTGGCCTAGATTTCGAATCGGTAACGTCGCACTCATTAGTGATGTGAAAAAAGCCTTTCTCTAAGTAAACACTACACGAGGAGGATAGAGACACCACACTCTTTAATTGATTTGGCACGTATCACAGCCAATCAACCATAGTAGCTTGGCCATCTACAGATTCACGAGAGTCACGTTCGGCCTCAACTGCTCGCCATTCTTACTAGCCGGAACCATCAAAGATTACGCAAGCAGCTACTATGACAATCCGAAGCTTGAAAGAGCATTAACAGAGAATACGTACGTAGACAACGTAATCGTCACGTCATCATCAGCAATAGAGGCGGTCAATAGGTCGAAGCGGATCTTTAAAACTGGTCATAAACCTAAAGCAATTCCTCTCAAACGATCAAAATACCATGCAACAAATTGACACACAGTTATTCGAGAAAGAAAAAACTAATCAAACGGTCCACTGTGGAACAAGTGGCAGCCATATATGATCTCTTGAGATGACTTGCGCCCACTCATGTTACCAGGAAAACTGCTCTACCAGGAGCTAGGGGCACATTACTACAAATGGGACGACCAACTATCACCAGAGCATGTGGAATAGTGAAGCCGAATGGCAAACGCTTTCGACGGGTTCAAAACACTTTTTCCGAGGAAAATCACCCAAATCGGAATTTCTAGCACTGTCTCTCTTTGCGGACACCAACGAGCGTTGCATACCTCACAAAAAATGATGAGTTCACATCTTTTCACAGCAAAATACGAATTGCAGTCACTCAAATCCAACACCACGATTCCGAAACTGGAGCTCAATGCTATAACGATGGCAACGCGTCTGGCATACACAATCTGTACGGCTCTAGAGAATCATTCAAGGATAGAAAGGATAACTATATTATCTGATTCGGAAATCGCACTAAACTGGCTGATAACCGGAACAGAAAAGGATTGCGATACGTTGGTGAGGAACCGAGGGAACAATATAAGACGAAATGTAAACGAAATGGACATACCAGTACAATTTAGATACTTGACGAATGATGTGAAAATAGCAGCTGCGCAACAAGAGGAGCAAACGAAATCGGGTTCGAACATCACACTAGGTGAACAAGATTGCCATTCATCAAAGATCAAATTTCCCAAAAGCACAGTCGGTTTTTCAGCTTAGATGAAGACGAATAAATGGAGGAAACTGCTATAGTTCTGCAGGCAAGTGCTGATATCGAAGACGGGCTACTGGATTGGAGACGAATCAAGCAGTGGAGAACAGCGAAGCGAATCACAGCATATGCCCTTCGGTTTATCAAAAAGCCACTCACGAACGGAAATGAAGAACTGTGCAAACGTGTACTGAAAACATTTTAGAAATCCAGATAATGTGTAGACTTGTACTGAGAAGAATTCCAGAAATCCAGACATGGTGCAAACGTGTATTGAGAAGCATTCTAGAAACCAACTCAGTGACGGCAGACTCTCACATTACGGCTACTTATAACCGAATGGTGTTAAGGTGATAAGGAATCATTAAATAGAACATTAACCAGCAATACTCGCAGAAGTTTCAAAAACTGCAACGTATACCAAGACGAACACGGAATTCTTCGGTGCAAGGACGGATTGGGAAATCAGGCAATCATTCGAAACGAAGCAAGCAATGCTAATCATACCGCAAACCGCACTAGCTGAAGCGATAATGACCGAGGAGCACCTCCCATACCACGTAGGAGCGAATCAGACAATGGCTCACGGCTGACGTCGATTTTGGACACCTCGACTAAGGCAAGTGAGTCGTCGAATTGTCGGGAAAGTGCATTCCGTGCCAAAAGATTAGCAGCCTATCGTACGAATACCCGGCTATGGACGATCTGCTGGAAAGAAGAGTTGTTAGGTCACGCCCATTCGAACACAGCGGGATAGATTACTTCGGCCCGATGTCCGTAAAAGATAAAGATTGCACAAGGAAAGGATTCGGAGTGCCTCTAACATGCGCAAGACAAGGCTACTTCACCTAGAACTAGTACCGGACATGACCACCAACGAGTTACTATCAGGCCTACGGTGATTCTTTGCAAGACGCGGAATTCCACGGTCAATTACGTCAGATAACGCAGCTAGTTTCAGTCTGGTGGACTAGATCTTACGTACAGTTAAGTGCCCATGACGGGCGATGATTCATTCGCAAGAACGATGGCAGATCACGCTGTCACATGGAGAACATTACTCTCTATGCCCCATGGCAAGGAGCGTTCTATGAACGGTTTATAAAAACGTCTAAGCATTCCATCTACAAAGTGCTACAGAAAAGGAGTTCAACATCGTCTTAATTATCTACGCTACTGGCGGAAATTGAAGGAGTCATAAATTTAAGATTTTTGACACACGTCGGACAAGACAAGACGGACTCGCTTATATTACGCCCAATCGACTTCTTTTAGCGAGACATGATGCAGACGTATCCAATGGAGACGGTCGCAACTCAAGTTCAGGATCAGGACTACCTTCTACCAAACGAAAGCGCATCAATTAGGACGCTGCAGCTAGCAACCAAGGCATTGATATCGGGCTACAGGTTGATAGAACGATATTGGACAATCTGGGGTCAGCAATACTTCAGAAGTTTATGAGAGACTCACAACTTCAACATGGATCATAAAAGAGACACACCAACCCTACCGGAAGCGGGAGCTGTTGTACTTATTTGTGAATCTGTACTTCGCCGAAACAGCTGGAAAATATACCGAATTATTAGCATACAGCAATCAGAAAGTGGAGCGATACGAGAGGCGCAAGTAAGGCTAACCAGCGGACGTACTATCCAGCGACCAGCGAATTGAACGATGATGAGGAACCACCACAAGTCCGAGACGTGAACGACGACCAGCAGAGCAACGATGAATCCGAACAAAGGCGATACAACCTACGTCCCTGAGCAACGGTGCGTGACAGTACAACATCGCCAACGCAACAAGGCGAAGCAATGACTTCTAGCAATCCACGACGTCAATGCAAAAAACTCAATCACATAGTTTCATTTTACAGTTCGATGTTATACGTTTCTAACCACGTCATTGCAAGTTCTATCACGGTCGCTGACGAAACAACGAGCATAGTGGGCAGCAAACCTCGCTTTCTCGGGGCCCGACTATAGCAACTCATGTAAAATTCCTTGCTATTTTCTTGATTACAATACTCGAGTGAGCAGTATGATAAGGTGGGCGATCGTTTATGTAACTTTAAAGGACGAGCGGCGATGGGGTCCTGCGCGTAAAATGTGCATATGATATATTGGACGTACGCGGGCAGTGGGCCGACGACGACGGCGGCAGACGAGCACCTGAAGCTGGCCTGTGCAGTCGCCTATCCTCCTCTCTCCTTCCTGAACGTATCCGCTCTCATTGCATGTTAGTCGCTCTCGTTGATTCCATGAGTTGAAATAGCCTTGTTGCATACGTATTGATGGCTGATAACCACCGCACATAAGACATGCATGGTTGTGTACCACTTTTGGCTTGATCATCGATTATTCGTAATTCGATGACGATTGTAATGCAAGCCCGAGCCACGGAGACCAACCCAATAGTGAGAGTCATTGGCGACTCACCATTGTGGGATAGGTACACAGGTTCACAGGACTATCTGGATTCATGTTATGTACAGATATGATTCGTAC